AGACTACTATTATTATTATTATTATATGTTGTGCTTTTTTTTTTACAGAAAGAGAATAAAGAGGAATTACATGTGGTATATGCATCTGTCAGCAAGAGAATATGATCAATCTTGAATCTTTTTTCTAATGAGACGGAGCTGTGTGGCCTGCGACAACCTCTATGGTCTATGGTTAAGTTTTGGGATTAGTGTGAATGACCACATGTAGCATCATGAAGATATGCAGCAGGATCATCCTGAGGGGTTTGAATATGGAGTTACTTTTTTATGCAATCAAACACACTGTGTTTAAAAGCAAAACAATTATATTGTAATAAATTTTTTTTTTTCAAATTAAAAAATAAAACTTGCCAAGATTTGTTAGGTAGAAAAATAATTGTGTGTGAATCTCATAGAAACTCATAGGTGGAGACCCTGCTTTATTCATTTATTCACATCTGCGCACAAATGCGCTTTGATCTGTTAGACAAAAAGTGTTTTCATGAGAATGTATCTACTGCTAGACGTTTGTGTTTGATGTCAGTTTGTGAGTGTGTCTGAGGTGTGAGTAGCGTGTCTGTGAATAGCATGTGGTTGAAGAGCTTTTTCCATTCCTGCTTATATAAAACCATTTGACTTCTGCTCTACAGAAAAAAAGATCAACTATTATTGATACCTTCTTTTCTCATTTTAAAGGTCATTTTAAGTTTTGTCTTTTCTTTTTCTGTCAATGTCTGGGTCATTTTAAGAATAAATGCAATATGATTTACAATTTATGATTTATGTTTGATGGCTGTTATTTCTTTAGTTTAAGGTAGCAATGCTGCTAACACACTTTATTTATTTGTTTTCCAGTGACATAATGGTGCTGCTGTCGAATAGTAAAACATACATTTTCAGTTTAGAGTGTGAAAATTCAAACCAATTCGATCCATACAACATTTAAAAATGTAAAATCAATAGCCATTTTTCTGATTTCCAGTGTTCCATAATGCCATGTGAATAATCACTCTTTATTAAAACACTTTCAGCAGACAGGTAAAACACACACTTTATTTTATAGTTTCAAGCCTTCAAAAATGCATCACTGGTGAAACAAATAATAGTTTAGTTGCGTTATCTAACAGTAGGGGCTAACGGGTAACATCAACCATATGAACCTTGGCCCTTTGGTATTTCATGAAACAATAGATACGTCTCACAGTAGAACTGCCTATGTTAGTTATGTTAAGCTGCTGTCACTTTAAGACAGATACACAGATCCAATATATTGATCAGTATTTCTCCCAACTGTTTATATTCACTTAGGACAGGCATTTAGCCATAATACAATTTTGTGTGTATTTCAGTTCATCACAAAAAACAGTCTCTCAAAGTATTTAATGATTTAATGATATGATTTTTTTTTTAATCCAGCAAAATACAAATTACAAAGTATTCAGAAGTAATTACATGGATATTTTAAACACATTTTATGAAAATATTGGCCATATCTGCATATTGATTATATAATGTCATATTAACTTTTACGATCTTGATTTAAGTGATAAATGGCTCCATCTGTTGGTGGTTTGAGAAACCGCAACTAAAACAGCGTCACAGTTCTCAGGGCCATTGTGGGATTTGAAAGCATCACAAGCTAATGGAGCTAAAATATAGGACTTGACTTGAAATACAAGGACAGTGGCACAATAATGAGATGAGAGGCATACTGACCATTTGGTGCACCAGGAGATTTTGTACATTATGAGCTGGCCCGTTGCAACGTAAATATATATAAAAAATGAATGATAGTAAATGTATGTACAGTATATCCTTCGGTTGGCTCAGGAAAATGACAAAATCAACTGGTGATAATCTGGCACCTGGTGCTAATTTTCTTTAATTATATGACAAACTCTATTTAACTGGCAGCATTCCTATAGTGCTCACTGAGATTGCAAGATGGCAGGGCGCTCGTGTGTGTGTGTGTGTGTGTGTGTGTGTGTGTTAAGGGCAACTTTATAACTACCTTTATTTAAATGTATATTTAGTGTTTTTTATGTCAAATTTACTTCCATCGATCACAATACTAAAGACTGTTGCCAATCAATTTTTTTCAAATGAACAAAAGCCATCTTTACAATGCAAAGATGTAACAGTAGCTTCACCTGAAATGGCATTTATGTTTATTTACACAGATTGCTTAAATGCTGCTCATGTACAGATTTTTACACAACAATTGCATAATGTAAACAGCCTATAAATCAGCCATTATTGCTCTTGATATTGTAATAATGATAATCAATTTAGATTATAACTAATAGAAAGGGGCAAAGCATGAAGTTTCTGAATTGATATTTACAGATTAGACAATCAAGACTTCACATTGGTTATTTCAGTAGCATGAAAAACAAAACTGTTAATTCAAACTGGGATTAGATTATAAAGAAGAAAGAAGGAAGAGCAAATAAATGTCTAGAAAATTAATATGATACGAATGAAATGTCAGTAAAATGGAGTCAGATTATAGTTTATTTTTACTTCGGCCACCATTGGATACCTTTGTTGCTAATTGGGTGAACCTTACAATGTAGTATGCAATAAAAAAAAGGTTTAATAACAGTGCATATTTATCTTTTCGTTTATAGTTACAAAATAGATATGAAATTATTAATACATACAACGAGTGCCATGGTGTACATACTCTTTTTTTTTTTCTTTTGGAAAATGTAAATGAATGAAATGTAAAAAAAAAAAAAAAATCATGTTCAAAGTTTCATATTTGTGCTGTCTATTATAACTCATGTGGGTTTTTTTTTTTTACAGAAAGAGATAAAGTGCAGTATGGGGAGTAACCAGATGTATTTGTGTCATTGCTCACAGGAACCTCCTGCAAAAACCTCTGACATAGATAGCTTGATATAAAGCTTAACATTTTATTTTCATCAGGATAGTTTACAATGATCTAGTTTTAATGATCAAAAAACTTCCAGTGGAAATACAGCAGGGTCATTATTGGGGACGTTCAATTGTGATATGTTTGAATCTTAAAGTCCCAAAACTTTTCAGACCACATGTGTATGTACATCTCCAAGTGCATACAAAATACTCCCATTTACTTCTGTAAAAAAAAAGGGGAAAAAAGTGGTTTGAGCAGTTGGGTTCTTCATAAAAGTGTGGTATTACTGGAAGCGTGTCGCTGTTTTCTGTTTGTGAGTATGTTTAAGGTGTCTGTAGCATGTCAGTATGACTAGCATACATTTAAAGGAATTTCAAGGTTGTTGAGTTTTAGCTTAGCTTAGTTATTTCTGGTTACAAACTCTAAAAGTGGGGCAGTCGTGGCCTAATGGATAGAGTCTGACTTGTAACCCGAATTGTCGGTGGGGAGAGTAAATAACCAGCGCTCTTCCACCTTCAATACCACGACTGAGTTGAAACACTTGAGCAAGGCACCAAACCCCCAACTGCTCCCCGGGTGCCACAGTATTGGCTGCCCACTGCTCCAGGTGTGTGTTCACTGCTGTGTGTGTGCACTTGGATGCGTTAAATGCAGAGCACTAATTCCAAATATGGGACACCATACTTGGCCACACGTCACTTCACTTTCACTTTTAAAAATCACGCCAAATTCAGATTCCAGCTGTTGAATCCAGCATGTTTTTATGAAATTTATCACATGAACATACAGATCTTTCCAGTGTTTTATTTTTTTCCCTCCCACTGCAGGAAAATAGACTTTATACAGGCAAAATATTTAATTCACTAACACAAAGTTAAAAACAACAGCAATTGTCTCATACTGAGCTCATGTTATGTGCTATTGATAAATTTGGCCTATACTTCAGCTCGGCCACACAATTTTTTCTTACAAAATTTCCATTACAAAAATAGGCATCATTTAAAAATCCTATTGCTCTTGTATCAACCTGTTTTCAGTAGGCAGCTGAGGAGCTGTTTGAACAGATGACTCTGGAAACATCTCTGATAACCCTGAGAAAGAAAGAGATTAGCAAAATTAGAAGTCTATTTCTTTGTTCAGATAAATAGATATAAACATTTGTCACACATACTTTTCTTGTTCAAGTGCAGGCGATTATTTCCAACACAGCTATGACATTCTGCAATTCAAACTAAATGGGAAAACAATGATTCAATTATATAAAATTACACTAAATACAGCACAGCTCAACATGCTTTAAAAACTGAGAAAGTTAAGAAAATATAAGAAAACGGATCATGTGAAGTAGTGAACATTCACCTTCAATGACCTACAGGTCTCCATATTCCTCCTCACATGAAATGCACGAACTTGGCAGTCAAAACCTAATCAGAATCTCAAATGGCAGAATGTTTCACTTTACCACAAAGAAAAACATTAACTTTTGCACATTTCCACACATAAGACATTCAGTGGAATTAGCAAATATCTGAAATCTATAAGAAATTACAAATGTCATTTTCTATCACTAAACATGAAATGTAATTAAAACACGATTCAGATGCTGAACACCAGTAAACAGTTTGAGGAGCATCTAGTAAGTCACATAATATTATATAAAACAATACATTATGTAAACATGTTGCAATTAGCCTTGCAAAAACTAATTGAATTATGTAAACGCGTATTTGTCATTTTGTAGCTGCTTCTCTCTACAGTGTCTTTCAGTGCAGTTATTACAAGTTCAGTTCCTGAGATTTAGAGTTTGATCAAGGACACAATGATGATATTACATGGATAAAACTTTGCTGGATTTGAACCACCTTTCTAACCACACTTTGTTAACCAAACAATCAAACATCATTGTGGACTGTGAATTGTTTCATTTCTCAAGAATTCCTGATAAAAAAAACGAAAAAAACCCCACCAGTTTAGGAAAACTTGAAATCGCATCATATGACCCCTTTAACAAAGCTGTTTGAACAATGGTATAACTTCAAGTCGCCGGTGTTGGTATCATGACACTATTTCTCTGTGAGTGAAGCTAATCTTCTTCATTCTCTTTATGTTCCCTTTCAATGGAATTATTTAAAATAATAAATTAATGTAACTGTGATGTCCCATTAGCCACTGATGAAGCACCATCCTGATTAGGGGACGTCCCATTATCAGCGGGCAATAATGTATTGAAGGCTGGATCATGGGCCGTCCCATTAGCAGCATCGTCCAATGGAATCTAATTAGCACATTAAAAGAAAGATAATGTTTGCTGAATGTAAACATCAAGTTTTTCTGCAGTAAAACAGCACAAGAGCAGTGCTCTCTCACATAAGTCAGGTATTATTAGTGTTTCTATGTAATTATTTCTGAATGAAACAGAGAAAATAGATACAGACCACTTACAGATCTCAATATGTTATACATTCACAATTTTTTTGCAAACAGACAGATTCTGTGCTCACTGTATCTTACCCGATGATCACTGTGTGGCACTCCAGTTTCTGTTTGATCAGTAACAACAAACTCTTACTTTGATCAATTAAGATAGAAACACATACTTTGAGATATTTTTTAAAGATTATATTTGTACAATAAATCTCATAATTTCAACTTGGACAGTTAGCTGTACATAATACTTGCCATTTTGTGTTGCTTGTGTAGATCTTCTGTAGAGGTAGTAAATCACACCAGCCACCAGCAGAGCACCAATAACACACCCAATAACAGCAGCACTTATTTCTGCTGCAGCAGCTGAAGGTGGCCTTGGATCTGAAACAGCTAAAGACAGACAGTCATTATTACAAGAGATTGACTGATAGTCAACTCCAATACTTTGATATTTACACATTTCTACTTTCAGTAAAAAGTTGTTTGATATGGACTCACATTTGATAAATGGAGCCATTTTGTGAGGCCTACATTACACTTACCAGTAACAGTAACATCAGTGACAGTAACACTGAAGCTCCTGATGATGCTGAATCTGCTGCTGTTGATCTGTAGTTTATAATCTCCAGAGTCTGTGGTTCTGGTGTTTGTGATGGTCAGAGATCCAGTCTGATGATCCAGCTGCAGTATGTCTCTGAATCTCTCCCTAAATTGACCATCTGTACAGATATAACTGAGATCTCTATTGATTTTGGCCATAGGAATGTCATTAAAATACCACATCATCAAATCATTTGGGTTTTTTACTTCACAAGGATCTAAAGTAACAGATTCCCCCTCCTTCACTGACTTTCTCTTCATTTCATCTCTGTCCGCAGCAAAAACACCTGAAACACAAACCAACAGCTGATTAAAGAATCTTTTTTTCAGGGTAAAGACAGCATGGGAACTGTGGATATGAAAGCATTAAAACATGCTCTTGACTTTCAGTCTGAAAATAAATATCTATCCACATCTTGTACTATCAAACACATTTAACATCAAATGTTCTGTAGTTTAGATTCCTGTTAAACTAAAAAAAAAAAAAACCTATGAAATAATAGGATTTAAATAGATGATAATAGTCATCAGAGATGATAAAAGTCACTGACATCTTGACCAGAACAAAACTGATGAAACTTACAACTAACTGATAGAAAATCTTACTGAACTAAATTCCTACTTATATCTACAAATTCTATTTCAACAGTAAATTAATTTTTTAAGAAATTAACTATATACTATATGCCAATTAATACACAGGTAAAAAGAAAAACACCTCTGAATGTCACTGCAAAATGATCCCTAACAACACATTAATAATGTGATTTACATGTACAAGACTTCCTATTAAACATACGAACTCACCATGAACAGCAAAAATGTAGGTCTTGATACTCTCTTTGTTGTTTCTACTGCTGATCTTTAGTTTATAATGTCCAGTGTCTGTGTTTGTGATGTTCATGATGGTCAGAGATCCAGTCTGATGATCCAGCTTCAGTCTGCCTCTGAATCTCTCAGTACCTTCATTACACTGAACATCTGTACAGATCTTGCTGAGATCTCCAGTGATTTGAGCGATGCGAGTGTCATTGAAATACCATCTGATTCTGTCTTCTTGGTTTGTTTTAACATCAGTGTGTAGAGTGACTGAATCTCCCTCCATCACAAACACTGACACTCCATCTGGACTGAGACCAGACACACCTGCAAAAGAAATGTACAGTTAATTAATTATGATACAAAATGTTTTTTTACAGATTGTAGGGAGTGAAATTATTTCCTTATGAAATGCATTCCTTGTGAAGCCGAAACTCAGGAACTCTTGCAACACACATGCCATGCCATGCAACAAAACAATAAACGTTCTAATCTGACAGGAAGGTCTGGGAGAAAGAACATTTGCTTATCTGTCCCTTCACCCTTCCTTAGGCCCCCTCCTTCCCCCCGGGCATGATATAGAAGTGTCAAGAACTCAAGTTGCCAGACTTACAAACTGCATTTATTATATCTTAAGAATTCATGATCTTAATCCCTTCATGCTTATTATCATTTTAAAGGTCTCAGAGTGATTGGTATAATGGTCTAAATTTCTTAACAGTCCCTTATATTATGAGAAAGATTGAAAACTTAAGTGAATTATGTACTTCTGTTGTGGGTGGTTTCCTTTTAAAATCTGATAAACATTGCTCTACACAAGGTGTGACCATTTGGGCGCGAGAACAGCTTCTACAGAGGCTTCTCATCCCTCATACACAGATCTGTTTGGGGCAGAGAATAAATGTTTATGGCCCTTTTGTTCTGATAGTATTTAAGGGAAAGTTGCAAATCAGTCAATGGGATTCTGTAGTCAGAAAACCCCACACCTCACATGTGAGACTCTGGAGCTTTGCACTAGAACTCTCGCTGCTGTGTGTGTCTCTCTGCTGTCAGAGAGAAAATCGTTTTTTATTCAAAAGTGTAATTGTGTTAAACACATTGTGCCCATAGAGCACACTGTATAGCGGTTTGTGCTACTACGTGTGCACATAGGCTACTTAAGTTTATTCTCTTAAACACATGATTGCTTTGCTTTAAGTGTTCTTTGAAATACTTAGGTATTGTGTAGCTACTGCAGATGCAGGTTTACCTAACAGCACCCGTGCAGGACTCTGCTTTAAACTGCTTTGCGTCTCTCCGTCAGATAACCTCACGTGCATGATGCGCCATTTACGGGGGCTTATTTAAAATGAAAACTCATTCTCTGCCAGCAGGAGGCGCTTTTAGAGTGATACAACTGGTAATGTATATCGAAATATCGGAAATGTGTTTAAAAATCATATCACCGTTATTGAAAAAAATTATATCGCGATACATATTGATATCGAATTATTGTCCAGCCCTAGTAAAAGGTTACAAATGCTATGCATTTTAGACCGTGTGTCTTGTGTTAAATTAGGATAACTGTTACATGTGCGACTATGTTAAAATTTGTTTGTCTCCTACGTGGATAAACTTGGCTATTCCCCATATAGCTGCAATGTCTGTGTACAGGAGCAGGGTTGCCACACGGTTACAATTGGTGTTGCTTTCGTCAACGAAAATTATGACTAAATATCGTCGTCAACGAACCTTTATCACGTGACAAAAACTAGACGAAAATACTGGTCATGTGACGATGACTATAATTAAATGTATAATGCAATATCGTTGACGAATAAAAACGAGACTAAATGTGGTTTACAAAATAAAAACTATGCTAAAATGTCTCTTCAATTTCGTTGGCCAAAACGAGATGAAACGAAATGTTATAACGTTATTTCGTCTCGTTATTATTATTATTTTGCAGTATTTCTGTTTCCTGTGTCTCGCTTCAGGGGCTGCATCAGGTCGCACTGCGCAGACGCAGTCTGTGTGCTCCGCTCAGTCACTCACGGCCCATGTGAGTGCTCCACTCATATACCGTTCATGCTCATCGGAACAGCAAAGTCCACTCAAAAATCTAAAAACATCTATGTAGTACAGTATGGTTTCTGTTTGGAATAGCCCTACTGTGCTGTAACAAGGTGTGGTAAATGGGCAACTCTGGTAACGCTGCCCTCTCATTCATTGATCTGCTAACCGTTATGCTCACGTGTCCTCTGATAATAATAGCTTTCTAGGATTAAACATTATTTGGATAATTGGTAAAAAAAAAAAACTCTTAATAGCCCTACTGTGTGTTAGACCTAGCTGAAAAACTAAAGAGCAATTTATTTCATTTGTAGGCCTATCGTGATTTTTTTTATTTGTGCTATCATTAGTAATTTCTTTATTTGTTCTTATTTTATTATTAACTGCTTAGCCTCCTTGTCATTTTTTATTCAATTCAAAGTTTTAAATCAAGCTATATCGTGCTACTGCAACAAAATTACCCAGCTGTAAAATCAAGAATACACGGAGGGAGCAAAACTTTGTTTAATCACCATTATAACTAGCTACATGTTGTAAATTCAAATCAGAGCATCTTCCGTGTCTGGAATGGATGTATTCTTGAGTCTATAAGGTAACAATAATATAATAAGATAACCTTGTTTGAAATGGGTTTGGCTAAAAGAAAATTTTGGTTTCGTTTATACTACTAGGTACTTATACTATATTGACTGGGTTAAATAGAATTGCATTTCTAAAAAGAGACTAAAATACAATTTTCATTGACTAAAACTAGAGTAAATGTAATTAGTTTTCGTCGACTAAAACTAGACTAAAATGCTCAGACTTTTAGTTGACTAAAACTTGACTAGACTAAAAAGAGTATGAACGTGACTAAAACTAATAAAAACTAAAATGACAGCTTCACACACAGACTAGACTAAAACTAAAATTAAAACAGGCTGCCAAATACAACACTAGTTACAATGTGATTCACAATTGCATTATCCTTTTTAAATTGGCTTCTAATGGTTTCATTATGTAATTGGCATGATGCAATTTATCTGACGAATAATAAAATGTTATATTTGATTTATTCTGAACTCTCCTGAAATAATTATGACTAGTAGACTGTGAGGAGGCTTTTGGTATGGCAAAACTACGGCCAGGATAAGTCAAACTGAAGGCTCATGAATGATAGGAACAGTAGGCACGTCATCGGACCCTTCTGATTTCGGTCCATCACTGGTGCTCGCAAGTTGTACAGGAAAAGACTAAGTAAACTACACTTTTTGTCATAACCAAGCAGTAGGCGGCAGACAAAACGGGTATAGTCAACCTACACCCTCTGACTAACATCAGACTGGTGAGTTTGTGATCGTGAGACCGGCACCTTCGGCCGACGCTAGGCTCCAAAGAGACATTAGGTCCCCAGTGAACGGATAATTGAAAGTATAGTGAGTCCGGAATAATCAGGTATTTAAATTATAACACGAACATTATGATCAGTTTTTTAAATTATTTTCACAATTTGTATTCAATAAACACCTGAAATTGGAGTCAGATTGAACACGGAGCTAGACTAAATTTGAAACTAAATCCTGAAAAATTAGGTGAACTTTGTAGAAGCACAAGTAAAAGACTTTCGATTTTTAAACTTTCGACCAGGCCGCTGGACTCGACGGGTGAATTCTTACAAGATCATAAAGATGTGTGCAGACAAATCACAGACAGATGGACTAGTAGGCAGGGCTCTCCAGGACCGACGTTCGCCACCCCTGATATATATATATATATATATATTTCACAATATTCTCGCTCTATATATATATATATTAAGGAACAGGTTAGCTTACATACCTTTCCCTTTTGAAGTGGCGATATCCTAGCTATGTGAATTGTGCATACAGCAAATCTCATTTTATAAATATGCCAAATATAAATATTCCAAAATAAATGATTTGGGAGATTCTCTTACTCTCTGTTAGGAACACTATTTCTGTGAACTGCACAGACTCTGATTACTGGCGCTGCTGGTTCCATGGCTTGCGTTTGTGTAGCAATTTATGTAACAATTATATATATATATATAAAAAGTGAATTAGAGTTGTTATAATTTCAAGTCAAGTAATTTTCTTCATTTAGTCAAGCAAGTAACCAGACCTTAAATTTTTGACTTGAGTCAAGTCATGTAACACGAGACCCCACTTCTGGTACTTTGTGTACACAGGGTTTGCTTTTTGCTATTCTCTTCTTAAAGAATGCCAAAAGATGCACTTCATTCTCTTGGCCATTTTAAACGGCACGTAAAATAATGAAAGTTTGCTTGAATCTGTGCATGCTTGTTCTGATTGGCCAATCACCATTATTTATAATTCCTTAATTATCATACATAGAGAATTACAATTTTTGATTTACATGGCAATTTTTAATACACAACAACACTGTTGTGTAATGGGGATTGGTAAGGATGATATGGTGGTTTTATAGAGGGGATTCTTTCTTTCTTTATTTTTTTCAAGGTGGATGTCACCCCCCTTCAAATCTGAAAATATCACTAAACACATTACTGTTGTGATTTAAATGTACAATAATTGCTTTTAAACTTAATGACTCACCATGGAAGGCAACAATGAAGGTCTTGCCACTGTCGCTGTTGTTACTGTTGCTGATTTTTAGGTGATAATTTCCAGAGTCTGTGGTTCTGGTGTTTGTGATGGTCAGAGATCCAGTCTGATGATCCAGCTTCAGTCTGCCTCTGAATCTCTCAGTACCTTTATTACACTGAACATCTCTACAGATATGACTGAGATCTCCACTGATTTCAGCAATGCGACTTGCATTAAAATACCATCTAATCTTTTCTTGTTGGTTTGTTTTAACGCTAGTGTTTAGAGTGACTGAATCTCCCTCCATCACATTCACTGCCACTCCATCTGGAACAACACCAGATACACCTGAAAAAGAAATGGACAGATAATCATAAGCCAAACACAATTATACAACAGAAAAGTGCTGTAAAAATGTTTTTCTACAGATGATAAAGAGGGTACATAAATACAGTTCCTTGCCAAAGTATTAATAGCCCTTCATTTTTTCACGCTTTTTGTTGCTGGCTTATGTTAAACCGTTTTAAATAATTTTTTTTCCACATTAATGGAACCAGTGCTGTCCTCCTGAATAACATTTTTCACATAACAGATATTTACATACAGTTCACTAGATAAAACAACTTCATTTACACAAAGGAATCAGTTCAAAAGCACATAAGATTGATTCTTAATTACATTGTTGCCCAGATAATCAATGACTAGTTGCTCATGTGGCCCTGTTTGTCCTGAGCAGTTGTCAACCAATATACATTTTTGCTAGCCGATTCACAGTATGATTTTGAGATGCATCTTTTCACACTGATGATGATTGAGCGATTCATATACAACTATTACAAAGGGTGAAAACATTTACTGATGCTCAAAAAAATAAACAAAATGCATTAAGAGTAGTGCTCCAAAATATAAGTTTTTGTTTACATAATATATGTATGTGTGCTGTGTATATTTATTATGTATATATAAATACACACACATACTATATATATATATATATATATATATATATAATATTTGCATGTATAAACATTTATATATTTATATTCTTATATTTTATATTATACATAAATATATTTAATATATAAACATACAATTTTTCTTAAATATATACATGCATGCGTTTGTATTTATATATACATAATAAATATACACAGTATACACACATTATGTAAACAAAACTTTTATTTTGGATGCGATTAATCGCGATTAATCATTTGACAGCACTAATTAAGAGCCTTTTTGAATTGGATGATCAGGGTAAACTGTAGCTACTTCTTTTGACCTGAGCTAAAGATGATCACCGGTAAACTGAAGCGCTCTTTTAACTTAACCAAACGCAAACACAATATTACAACGTACAATTGCACAAAAGGCTGCAAACTAACAGCGCGCATCTGAAGTGTCTCTGAAGGAAATAATGCATTATTTATCGGCTTTAAGATATCGGCCAAATTTTCTTATCAGGCCGATACCGATAACAGAAAAAATGAGCATTTATCGGCCGATACCGATATGGTGGCCGATATATCGTGCATCCCTATTTGAGACTTTAGTCTTTGCAACTTTACAGATCTTCTTTATGCACCAAGAGCTTGTAACACTCCAAAGAGAAAGGAAAACTTGAAATTGCATCATATAACCCTTTTAAACACGTAAATATATTATGTATCTTCTATGTAATATATGCATTATGTTTCCTTCTTGAGCATCAGTGAATGTTTTCACCTTTTGAGTAGTTTGAGTCCCTTAATCCTATTAGTGAGGAAAGAAAATATTGACTTCAATGTTCAGTCACATTATGATCCCTCTTATTTTGTTAAAATTATTAACATATTGCATATTCTGCAAAAGGGTGTGTAAACATACTATTATCTCTTCTGAATATTAAATAGTTGAACATTTTCCCATAAATGTATATATTGAACTTTATTAAAATTGTGCCGTTTCTACCACATTAAGATACAATTAAGTGCTTTTCTACAAAATATTGTTTTTATTTCTGTTATTTTAATGTTGAAAATAACATGTTTTCATTTACATTTGGAAGAACTCAGATAGCACAAGTACGTCAGCAAGATAAATGTTAAAGACCCTGTTGAATAAAAAACATATGCTGGTTAGGTATGTTTTGAAGCATGACTGCTGGTTTAAGCTGGTCCTTAGCTGGTCATGTGCTGGTTTAAACTGGTCATGTGCTGGTCCTAAGCAACTAGCTCCTGCTCAGGACCAACACATGACCAGCTTAAACCAGCTCATCTAGGCCTGTCGCAATAATCAATATATTGACTTATCGCGCACTATATGTACACGACCTCAATAATTTTTGGTGACGCAATATATTGCTCCTTATTTTTCCTTAAAAATTAATGTCATCATGTTTTGTACATTCCACTTGCGCCTGTGTCTTTTGCAGCTTCTCGTACATAACGTGTAATCATGAGGTGCTAGTTCAAATTAAAAAAAAAAATGCTTCTACAAAAAAAGTTTCATCTGCAGATATGGCATTGTTTAAGGATCTGTGCCTTTGTGCATACAGACATCTGACTGCTAAGTAGAGATTGTGTTTTTCAGCAATACAGTACACCCTTAATTTACAAAGAAAAGAAGGTCAGGAAAAAAATCTGTAGATGGAAAAAACTACTTGTACTTGTTACTTTGCATTTCTTGTTATAAAATGTTTATTTAATATTTATTCAAGTTTTTAAGGCATCTAATATTTTGATACTTAATTTCCATGATCTAAATATTCTTAAAAATTAAAAGTTTGTTGTCATTTGGAAGTGTGTAGGCCTTCTTGCATCATTATGCTGTTACATTATGATTATATATTCAATGGCATAAAATGGTCTTTAAAATGACAATAATATCGCTTATCGCAATTATTTCTGGGGCAATATATCGCACAACAAAAAGTTGTTATCGTGACAGGCCTAATCATGACCAGCTCAAGCCAGCAGCCATGCTTCAAAACATACCTAACCATCATATGCTATTTATTTTAATTTTTTCAACAGGGGAGTCTGCGGTGTACAAATCATTTTCTAAATGTCTCTAATGTCTGACCGGAAACGTCCTAGAGACGTAGGCTACTGCAGAAGTGCAAACACTCTAAAAAAAATAAGTCTTCTAGATGTAAACATGCATAAAGACATTTCACTCAAAGGCTTTGATTTAGCTTTCATTCAAAGGTGACTGACATTGCATTCAAAGTACATTTTATTAGATGATGCCACGTTCATTTTAGATTACGTTTTTGAACCAAATCGCACAATTTAAGCGTTTACAGAAAACTTTCTGTATAAAAAAATGATTTTCTCATTTTGACGAACAGCGATATTTTAACAAATAAAGGCCTTGTCATGGAAAAACGCACACTCAGAAACAAATCATAAATGCATTGCTCTCGAATATAAAGGGATTAGAGCTGATACTAAACTGCGTCACATTCACCGGCTAAGAAGCATAGGCTACTACAATTGCCAAATATTTGCATGGTTGCGTAGGGTTAGAGTTGCGCTTATTAAAGCCTCAACACATACACGTAATGCTGATAGACCTCTGTCGAGTTATTTCCCGGGCCGTAACCTACTTTTTTTTTTTTTTAACAAATTCACGCTGTCCTACTAGCCTACATCTGACAGCGTGTGTCCCGCGAAGCATGCTACCTTGTTTAGAACACCGGAGCAGAGATTATAAGCACAACGTCTTACCTTGACCGAGTAAACGCCAGAATAAGAGCAAAAGAAAGAAAAGCTTCATTTTCACCAATGTCGAGTTCGATGTTATTCCTCTGCCAAAACGGCAACGCCCTATTTCTGGAAAGTGAATGCAAGTCATTCTGGAAGTGAAAGCAAGTAATTGAGAAATGGGCGTTTTTGGTACTCCGAGATGGCGGCATGACTAGTTGCATTTGCATGGCTGCGTAAAATAAAGTTCGGGTAGGTCTTACTAATGTTGATATACACTCTTAAAAATAAAGGTGCTTCACGATGCCATAGAAGAACATTTTTGTCTAAATGGTTCCATAAAGAACCTTTAACATCTGAAGAACCTTTCTGTTTCCCAAAAGGTTCTTTGTGGTGAAATAAGGTTCTTCAGATTACAAAAAGGCAAGAAAGAGATGGTTCTTTAAAGAACCTTTGACTGAATGGTTCTTTGTGGAACCAAAAATGGTTCTTCTATGGCATCGCTGTGAAGAACCTTTTGAAGCACCTTTATTTTTAAGAGTGTAAGAAAAAAGTCACACTCGTTTTATGTGATACTGAGATTCTGGCATAAATTCGCGCTGTTTACTGCTAGTTCTGCGGTTTATTTAATTCTATAGAAGAGTGAGTTACCATGGATTTGTCAGTTCCCGAAGAGATGGACGTTGAGGTTCAAAAGATGACGGAGAAAAGACTTATTGACGACACACACTCCTACACTTGCCGTAGCAAAAAAGGAGGTGAATGTGACTCTTTCCCAAACACGCCGTCTAAAACACATCCGCCGAAGAAGCTCGCAAAAGGAGATGCATCAGAGGACTTAACCTTAAGTCAGGTACAGCACAGCATCATTCAAATAATCAAACAATCATCCGAGGAAATAAAAGACATGGTGAAAGAAAAGTCAACCAGCATCAACCTCTTGAAAGAAGCTCTGGAAGTTGTGCATTCTGAAATATTTGACATCTATTCAAATCTATTAATCTATTTATTTATCTATTCAAGAATAAAGGTGATGATGTTATATTTATGTGGGTCCCAGCACATATGGGCATTATAGGAAACGAAAAGGTAGACAAAATAGCTAAGAAAGCACTGCAAAAAGAGAGCATAGAAGCAGTCATCAGCCTTTCAAGATCAGAAGGAAAGAGTATAGTGTGGGGGAAATGATTAAAGAATGGCAACAAAGGTGGGATCAAGAACTAAAAGGAAGACATTTATACTTGATTAAAAAAAGAGTTGTCACTGTGGAAAATAAGGGAGGAAACAGGAGAGAAGAGACTAGTATTACCAGAGTAAGAATAGGGTATAAATAGCCTAATAGAATAATAATTTAATTATTTAAATTAGCACTCTTCATATTATGGGAAAACATCCAACTGGGTTTTGTGACCAGTGCCAAATACCCGAGACTGTAGAACATGTGCTTATTAATTGTTCAAAATATGAATTACAGAGGATGGATATGATAAAAGACGTGGAAAAAATAGGACTAGCAGGACGTGGAGTAAAGAATATAATGGACTGCAGTAGGAGTGAACAAGGAATTAAATATTTGATTTGCTTTCTGAGTAAAACGGGACTCATGACAAGAATATGATGACTACAGTATATGGGAAATAACTAGAACCAGAAGATGGCAGTAATGCAACGTTAAAGATGCAAGCTGCCGTTAAAACTCAAAAAAGAAGAAGAAGAAGAAGAAGAAGAAGACGACTTGTTTTCATAATAACAGAAACGAATTCTTTATCTGGATGGAACCTGTGGTTAAAATTAAGCCCTTTATTTGGGGTCTTTTGCTTATGCATGGTAAGACATTTTGTTTACTACATTAGTTTATCTTTTTGTCAACAATAATTCTTGTGAATGTTTGCACAGTTTTAATCATGCGCGATGTATAGCCTATAACATATTGTTATCGTTTTATTAACACGGCGAAACCGATCTAGTGAAGGCGAAGTGAGGCGTTCTGAACAGCAAAGCTTTCAACACAGTTGTATCGGGGAAAATGTTCATTATTCGAAGCTTTTCAACACTGTTTATGTAATGGCTATCTAGTGGTCATAAAAAGGAATAGCACCTTCCAAAGTGCTCGCAGTGGTTCCCAAACCTGTCCTGGAGGACCCCGTGCCCTGCACATTTTGTATGTCTCCCTAATCCGACACACCCAATGTAGTTCTTGCAGTCCCTACTAACGAGCTGATGAGTGGAATCAGGTGTGTTAGATAAGGGAGACATACAAAAGGTGCAGGGCAGAGGGGCCTCCAGGACAGGTTTGGGAACCACTGCGTGTAGCCTATTCAATTACAGCCGGTGGTTTCACATCTGGTTCTACAGCTGCTGATTCTTTGTTTTATTTTATACCTCGCCTACACTGCATTTAGTGAAAGTGACATGACATGTGAATTAGTGCTCTGCATTTATCCCATCCAAAGTGCACACACACACAGCAGTGAACACATGCACACCGAGAACACACACCCGGAGCAGTGGGCAGCCATTTATGCTGTGGTGCCCGGGGAGCAGTACCTTGCTCAAGGGCACCTCAGTCGTGGTATTGAAGGTGGAAGAGAGCGCTGTACATTCACTCCCCCCACCTACAATCCCTGCCGGTACGAGACTCGAACCCGCAACCTTTGGGTTACGAGTCCGACTCTCTAACCATTAGGCCACGACTTCCCCACAAAGTATTAATTTGCTGTCAATAGCAAAAACTTTACTTTCAATTTGAAATAAATTTCAGTTTCTATTATAAAGCCACTCTCCAATCAGGGGGTGGGTTTACCAGTTTTGGGGCTGGGTAAATAATGACTCCACTATTTTGTTCCACTATCTCAGATTTGATTTATAATTAACTCTTCATTTCTTCTTCAGGTGTATCTGGTTTTGATACAGACAGAGTGTCAGTGATGGAGGGAGATCCAGTCACTCTAAACACTAATGTTAAAACAAACCAACGAGACAGAATCAGATGGTATTTCAATGACACTCGCATCGCTCAAATCAGTGGAGATCTCAGAAAGACCTGTACAGATGTTCAGTGTAATGAAGATACTGAGAGATTCAGAGACCGACTGAAGCTGGATCATCAGACTGGATCTCTGACCATCACAAACACCAGAACCACAGACTCTGGAGTTTATCATCAAGAGACCATAATCAGCGGCAGCATCAGTGAAAAGATCTTCAATGTCACTATCACTGGTGAATCATTTTGTTTAAAAGCAGTTTGTATTTGTTTGATATTTTTATTTATTTTATGTTGATGCAGTCACAGTTAGAGCTCTTATTTCTCTTTACCTGTAAATGTATTCACATATGATTGATCTCTTTTACTCTGAAATGGAATTTGTAGAATTATCTGCATTGTTTGCATTGCTAAACAACATTTTGATCTCTGACATCTTTGACAACCTTCTATTATCAGAAGCATACTTACAATGCAAAAAATGCAGAATAAGTTTAGAAGCACAAAACGTAAACAATGCTGTCACGTCAAGATAGACCATGTTTAGTAACTAACAACTGTCATGTTGTGTAGTTTTTTGTTGGTTTGTTTTTTGTTTGTTGAGCAAAAGATTGTTCAAGCAGCTGTTGGTTTGTGTTTCAGGTCGTCCTGGCTCAGAGGGCTCAGAGGCAGTGCAAATGAAGAGAAAGATGATGATGAAGGGAGCATCAGACAATTTAGACAATGGTGCAGTAAACAAACCAGTTCATTTGCTGACTTTTTTTTTATGATACATTATTTACAGTAACTCACACTTTCTGACCTATTAATTTGGCATATTTTCATACTTTTTTTAATAATTGTATTATCACCCACATGTGCCGCTATTCTGTAGTATGTGACCCTGGAGCACAAAAGCAGTCTTAAGTTGCTGGGGTATATTTGTAGCAATAGCCAAAAATACATTGTATGGGCCAAAATTTTTTCTTTTTTCTTTTATGCCAAAAATCATTAGGATATTAAGTAAAGGTCATGTTCCATGAAGATATTTAGTAAATTTCCTACTGTAAATATATCAAAACTTAATTTTCGATTAGTAATATGCATTGCTAAGAACTTCATTTGGACAACTTTAAAGGCGATTTTCTCAATATTTAGATTTTTTTGCACTCTCAGATTCCAGATTTTCAAATAGTTGTATCTCGGCCAAATATTGTCCTATTATCCTAACAAACCATCCATCAATGGAAGGCTTATTTATTCAGCTTTCAAATTATGTATAAATCATAATAAAAATGTACCCTTATGACTGGTTTTGTGGTCCAGGGTCACATATGGTATATTGCGGTAAAGAACATGGGCCCACTAATAAAAAAATGTCTTCATCTTATTAATTTTTTCTTTTGAACATTGATGGAGCAACACATTTTGTGGAAAAATAAATCATAAAAGTGGTTTCTTTTGTTTGAAAATGATATAAACATACGAGGTGGTGGCCTAATTATTATTTTTTTGTTTAACAGATATACTGTCATTAAAATATGTTTATATTAAAAATAAATGTTTCAAAATGTAAAGATTCTGAACACTTTTTACAGTGCTTGAAGGAGAAACCATAATTATTTAACATGGTTTATATTAGTAACTTACCACCTAGAATTGACAATATGGCAAGTGAATTAAGCAGTGTTTGTTTACGACTGAACATAATTGACATATGGAGATATAAAAATCCACAGTCACTTTTGTATACATGGAGTAATAGGGACAGATCTCAACAATCACGTATTGATTTTTGGCTCATTTCAGAACATATGAAAGAGAGAGTTGAATTTGTTACTATTGAACCGTCAGTTTTAACAGATCACAAAGGTATATCTATTAAAATTAATGTGTTAGTTTGTCAATCAAGTAGAGTTAAGAGAGGATATTGGAAGTTAAATAACAGTCTATTGAAACATAATGGTTTTTGTGACCAAATTAAGAATATAATTGTTAAGTATTGGCAACAGGCTTTTTTGATTCAAACTTATGGGAAGTTATGGGAACAAGCACAATTTGAAATAAGGAAATT